GTTCGGGGGCACCGGGCGGAACGGTTGTGTTGGGAAACGTTTCCGGGGGGAAACCGTGAGGGATGGACCGCGCGGGGGGGGAGCGGGAAGGGACGGACACTTCCGGCGGAAGTGGCGGAAAAACGGGGATACCGGGGGGGGCACCGGGCGGAACGGTTGTGTTGGGAAACGTTTCCGGGGGGAAACCGTGAGGGATGGACCGCGCGGGGGGGGAGCGGGAAGGGACGGACACTTCCGGCGGAAGTGGCTGTGGGACGGGCGCGGGAACCGGGGCTCGCCATGGAACCGGAGCCGGGCCCTGATCCCGACCCGGGCCTTGATCCCGCCATGGACCCGGGCCGCGAACCCGTAGCGGGCCCCGGCCACGATCCGGGAACGGGCCCGGACCCGGTAACGGACCCGGCGACCGATCCCGACGTGGAGCCGCTGCACCGGGGCGGCTTCCGCTGCCGCCTGTGCCAGATCACCACGGCCAACCGTGAGTGATGCCGGGGGCTGAGGGGGCGGTGGTTACCGGCACCGGGCGGCTCTCAGCTCCCGGTTCCCGTGTCCGGGGGGGCTCCGTTAACCAGAACAGGGAGAGCTTCCAAACTCCCCTTTAACCGGGACCGGGGGAGCCCCGGGACCCCAATTCCCGGTGCCGGTGCTCCCGGTTCCCGTTCCTGCTGAGCCCCATTCCCTTTCCCGTTGATCCTGGTGTCCGCAGTTCCCGGTGCTCCGGTTGATCCCGGTTCCCAGTGTCCCTGCAGTGCCCGTTATCCCCGTTGTTATTCCCGTTATCCCTGTTGCTATCCCGTTATCCCGGTTGTCCCCGTTATCCCGGTGGTTATTCCCGTTATCCCGCAGTTCCCAGCCTGCTCTCGCACCTCTCCGGGCGGCGGCACCGGCGGCTCCGTGGTCCCCAATCCCCGTTGTCCCCGTTGCTATCCCGTTATCCCGGTATCCCCGTTGCTATCCCGTTATCCCGGTATCCCCGTTGTTATTCCCGTTGTTATTCCCGTTATTCCCGTTGTTATTCCCGCAGTTCCCAGCCTCCTCTCGCACCTCTCGGGTCGGCGGCTCCACTGTCCCCGTTATCCCCGTTATCCCCGTTGCTATCCTGGTTGTTATCCCGGTTGTTATTCCCGTTGTTATTCCCGGTTGTTCCCGCAGTTCCCAGCCTCCTCTCGCACCTCTCCGGGCGGCGGCACCGGCGGCTCCGTGGTCCCCAATCCCCGTTGCTATCCCGTTATCCCAGTTGTCCCCGTTATCCCGGTGGTTATTCATCCCCGTTATCCCCGTTGCTATCCCGTTATTCCTGTTGTTATTCCCGGTTGTTATCCCGGTGGTTATTCCCGTTATTCCCGTTGTTATTCCCGGTTATCCCGCAGTTCCCAGCCTCCTCGCTCACCTCTCCGGGCGGCGGCACCGGCGGCTCCGCGCTCTCCAATCCCCGTTATCCCCGTTGCTATCCCGGTTGTTATCCCCGTTGTTATTCCCGTTGTTATTCCCGTTATTCCCGTTGTTGTTCCCGCAGTTCCCAGCCTGCTCTCCCACCTCTCCGGGCGGCGGCACCGGCGGCTCCGCGCTCTCCAATCCCCGTTATCCCCGTTGCTATCCCGTTATCCCGGTTATTCCCGTTATCCCGGTGGTTATTCCCTGTTATTCCCGTTATTCCCATTGTTATTCCCGCAGTTCCCAGCCTCCTCTCGCACCTCTCCGGTCGGCGGCACCGGCGGCTCCGCGCTCTCCGCGCCGCGCGCCGCGCGCAGGCGCAGCGCAGCCTCTTCGTCAGCGGCTTCCCGCGGGGCACGGCGCCCGAGCGGCTGCGGCGCCACTTCCGCGCCTTCGGGCCGGTCGCGACAGTCGTGATGGACAAGGACAAGGTGCGGGGGGGCGGCGGGAGGGGACACCGGCACCCTCCGACTGTCGCGATAGGCGGGGGGGACGGGGGGGTTAAGGGGGGTCCCAAATCTCTCCCAAAGGGGTTTTGGGGGGCTTGAGGGGTTTTTGCGGGGGTTAAGGGGGGTCCCAAAGCTCTCCCAGGTTTTTAGGGGACTCCCAGTGCTCCCAGTTTGCCCAGTAAGGAGATGATGCTCCCGGTGCTCCCAGTTTGCCCAGTGCAGCAGGGAGGGCGCTCCCAGTGTTCCCAGTGCTCCCAGTGTGCCCAGTGTGCCCAGTGCTCCCAGTTTGCCCAGTGCAGCCGGGGGGACAGTCCCAGTGCTCCCAGTTTGCCCAGTGCAGCCGGGGGGGCACTCCCAGTGCTCCCAGTGTGCCCAGCGTTCCCAGTTTGCCAAGTGGGCACAGTGTTCCCAGTCTGCCCAGTTTACCCAGTTTGCCCAGTGTTCCCAGCGTTCCCAGTGCTCCCAGCGTTCCCAGTGCTCCCAGCGTTCCCAGTGCTCCCAGCGTTCCCAGTGCTCCCAGCGTTCCCAGTGCTCCCAGCGTTCCCAGTGCTCCCAGCGTTCCCAGTGCTCCCAGCGTTCCCAGTGCTCCCAGCGTTCCCAGTGCTCCCAGCGTTCCCAGTGCTCCCAGCGTTCCCAGTGCTCCCAGCGTTCCCAGTGCTCCCAGCGTTCCCAGTGCTCCCAGCGTTCCCAGTGCTCCCAGCGTTCCCAGTGCTCCCAGCGTTCCCAGTGCTCCCAGCGTTCCCAGTGCTCCCAGCGTTCCCAGTGCTCCCAGCGTTCCCAGTGCTCCCAGCGTTCCCAGTGCTCCCAGCGTTCCCAGTGCTCCCAGCGTTCCCAGTGCTCCCAGCGTTCCCAGTGCTCCCAGCGTTCCCAGTGCTCCCAGCGTTCCCAGTGCTCCCAGCGTTCCCAGTGCTCCCAGCGTTCCCAGTGCTCCCAGCGTTCCCAGTGCTCCCAGCGTTCCCAGTGCTCCCAGCGTTCCCAGTGCTCCCAGCGTTCCCAGTGCTCCCAGCGTTCCCAGTGCTCCCAGCGTTCCCAGTGCTCCCAGCGTTCCCAGTGCTCCCAGCGTTCCCAGTGCTCCCAGCGTTCCCAGTGCTCCCAGCGTTCCCAGTGCTCCCAGCGTTCCCAGTGCTCCCAGCGTTCCCAGTGCTCCCAGCGTTCCCAGTGCTCCCAGCGTTCCCAGTGCTCCCAGCGTTCCCAGTGCTCCCAGCGTTCCCAGTGCTCCCAGCGTTCCCAGTGCTCCCAGCGTTCCCAGTGCTCCCAGCGTTCCCAGTGCTCCCAGCGTTCCCAGTGCTCCCAGCGTTCCCAGTGCTCCCAGCGTTCCCAGTGCTCCCAGCGTTCCCAGTGCTCCCAGCGTTCCCAGTGCTCCCAGCGTTCCCAGTGCTCCCAGCGTTCCCAGTGCTCCCAGCGTTCCCAGTGCTCCCAGCGTTCCCAGTGCTCCCAGCGTTCCCAGTGCTCCCAGCGTTCCCAGTGCTCCCAGCGTTCCCAGTGCTCCCAGCGTTCCCAGTGCTCCCAGCGTTCCCAGTGCTCCCAGCGTTCCCAGTGCTCCCAGCGTTCCCAGTGCTCCCAGCGTTCCCAGTGCTCCCAGCGTTCCCAGTGCTCCCAGCGTTCCCAGTGCTCCCAGCGTTCCCAGTGCTCCCAGCGTTCCCAGTGCTCCCAGCGTTCCCAGTGCTCCCAGCGTTCCCAGTGCTCCCAGCGTTCCCAGTGCTCCCAGCGTTCCCAGTGCTCCCAGCGTTCCCAGTGCTCCCAGCGTTCCCAGTGCTCCCAGCGTTCCCAGTGCTCCCAGCGTTCCCAGTGCTCCCAGCGTTCCCAGTGCTCCCAGCGTTCCCAGTGCTCCCAGCGTTCCCAGTGCTCCCAGCGTTCCCAGTGCTCCCAGCGTTCCCAGTGCTCCCAGTGTTCCCAGTTTACCCAGCGCTCCCAGTTTACCCAGTGTTCCCAGCGCTCCCAGTGTTCCCAGTTTGCCCGGTGTTCCCAGCGCTCCCAGTGTTCCCAGTTTGCCCAGTGCTCCCAGTGCTCCAGCTGCAGCTGCTGGTGCGGGCGCTGGAGCTGAGCGCGGCCGAGCGGCGCCTGCGGGAGCTGCTGCTGGCGCTGCTGCGCGAGGTGTTCAGCGAGTTCTTCCCAGGTGAGCACAGCTGGCACAGCTGGCACGGGGGTGGGACACGCCCCAGGGGTGCCCCAGGTGTGTGACGTGCCCCAGCTGTGCCCCACACCTGTCCCCACCTGTCACACCTGTGCCACATCTGTCCCCAATGCCCCAGCTGTGCCCCACACCTGTCACACCTGTCACACCTGTGCCACATCTGTCCCCACACCTGTCCCCGTGTGTCCCACACCTGTCCCTACCTGTCACACCTGTGCCACATCTGTCCCCACACCTGTCCCTCACGCCTGTCCCCACATGTCCCACACTTGTCCCTGTCTCTGTCCCACACCTGTCTCACCTGTCCCCACACCTGTCCCACCTGTCCCCACCTATCACACCTGTGCCATACCTGTCCCTCACGCCTGTCCCCATGTGTCCCACACCTGTCCCATGTCCCACACCTGTCCCTGTCTCTGTCCCACAGCTGTCTCACCTGTCCCCACACCTATCTTACCTGTCCCCACCTGTCACACCTGTGCCACATCTGTCCCCACACCTGTCCCCGTGTGTCCCACACCTGTCCCACCTGTCCACACATGTCCCACGCTTGTCCCCACCTCTGTCCCACACCTGTCCCACCGGTCTCACCAGTCCCTCCGTCACACTTGTTTCCACCTGTCCCCACCTGTCACACCTGTCTCATCTGTCCCATGTGTCCCCACCTGTCCCTCACTTGTCCCCACACCTGTCACACCTGTCCCCACCTGTCACACCTGTCCCCACCTGTCACACCTGTCACACCTGTCCCCACACCTGTCACACCTGTCCCTCACCTGTCCCCCCCGTGTCCCCAGGCTGCTCCCTTGTCCCCTACGGCTCCTCCGTCAACGGCTTCGACGTCCACGGCTGCGACCTGGACCTGCACCTGGAGCTGGGGGACCCCCAGAGCCCAGAGACCCCAAACGGGGACCCCCAAATCCTGGAGACCCCAAACAGGGACCCCCAAATCCTGGAGACCCCAAACAGGGACCCCCAAATCCCAGAGACCCCAAACGGGGACCCCCAAATCCTGGAGACCCCAAATGGGGACTCCCAGACCCTGAGAACCCCAAACGGGGACCCCCAAATCCCAGAGACACCAAATGGGGACCCTCAGAGCCTGAGACCCCCAAATGGGGACCCCCAAACCCTGAGAACCCCAAATGGGGACCCTCAGAGCCTGAGACCCCCAAATGGGGACCCCCAAACCCTGAGAACCCCAAATGGGGACCCTCAGAGCCCAGAGACCCCAAATGGGGACCCCCAAACCCTGAGAACCCCAAATGGGGACCCTCAGAGCCCAGAGACCCCAAATGGGGACCCCCAAACCCTGAGAACCCCAAATGGGGACCCTCAGAGCCTGAGACCCCCAAATGGGGACCCCCAAACCCTGAGAACCCCAAATGGGGACCCTCAGAGCCCAGAGACCCCAAATGGGGACCCCCAAACCCTGAGAACCCCAAATGGGGACCCTCAGAGCCTGAGACCCCCAAATGGGGACCCCCAAACCCTGAGAACCCCAAATGGGGACCCTCAGAGCCCAGAGACCCCAAATGGGGACCCCCAAACCCTGAGAACCCCAAATGGGGACCCTCAGAGCCTGAGACCCCCAAATGGGGACCCCCAAACCCTGAGAACCCCAAATGGGGACCCTCAGAGCCCAGAGACCCCAAATGGGGACCCCCAAACCCTGAGAACCCCAAATGGGGACCCTCAGAGCCTGAGACCCCCAAATGGGGACCCCCAAACCCTGAGAACCCCAAATGGGGACCCTCAGAGCCTGGAGACCCCAAACGGGGACCCCCAAATCCCAGAGACACCAAATGGGGACCCTCAGAGCCTGAGACCCCCAAATGGGGACCCTCAGAGCCCAGAGACCCCAAATGGGGACCCCCAAACCCTGAGACCCCCAAACGGGGCCCCACAGAGCCCAGGGACACTGCTGAGGGATGGGGACCCCCCTCCCCATGGGTCCCTTTTGGGGGACAAGGACCCCCCCCTCAGGGGGTCGTTTTTGGGGTCTGACAGGTCCCATCTGGGGTCCGAGGGGTCCCTTTTGGGGGACGGGGACCCCACTTCCAGGGGATCCCATCTGGGGTCCGAGGGGTCCCTTTTGGGGTCTCCCTTGGGGGACAGAGACCCCTCCCTCGAAGGGTCCCTTATGGGGTCCGAGGGGTCCCTTTCGGGGGACAAAGGGTCCCTTTGGGGGTCTGAGGGGTCCCTTTTGGGGTCCCTTCCGGCTGACCGAGACCCCTCCCTCGAAGGGTCCCTTATGGGGTCCGAGGGGTCCCTTTTGGGGTCTCCTTCGGCTGACCGAGACCCCCTTTTGCCTTCCGAGCCTGCCTCTCCCGCGGGGTCCCCGTGCGGCTCTGAGGGGGGGTCCCTGTCGGGGGCTGAGTCCCCCGAGGCCGAGGGGTCCCTGTCGGGGTCCGAGGGGTCCCTTTTGGGGTGCGGGGGGTCCCTTTTGGGGCGGGGGGCCCCCCCGGAGCAGGTGCTGGCGCTGGTGGGCGCGGTGCTGCGGCGCTGCGTGCCGGGGGTCCGGGGGGTCCGCGCCGTGCCCGGGGCTCGGCGCCCCGTGGTCAAATTCAGCCACAAACAGTCCGGGCTGGCCGGGGACGTGTGCCTGGACAACCGGTACGGACTGGGGGGCACTGGGACCCGTTTTTCGCCCCAAACCCCCCCCAGCCTGGCGCTGTTCAACACGCGCTTCCTGCGCCTCTGCGCCGACGCCGACCCCCGGGTGCGGCCCCTGGGCTACGCCCTGCGCCTCTGGGCGGGGGGGCAGCGGCTGGCAGGTGAGGGGGGGTCGGGACCCCTCCCCAAAATGGGATGGGAGCCCCAAAAATGGGGCGAGACCCCCCAAAAACGGGGCTGAGACCCGCTGGGACACCCCCTCCCCACAGGGTGTTCTTCACTTGTGCGCCTCTTGGCGGTTGGGCAGCGGCTGGCAGGTGAGGGGGGGTCGGGACCCCTCCCCAAAAGGGGATGGGAGCCCCAAAAATGGGGCGAGACCCCCCAAAAAGGGGCTTGGACCCCCCCTCCCCACAGCGTGTTCTTCACTTGTGCACCTCTGGGGGGGGGGGCAGCGGCTGGCAGGGGAGGGGGGGGCGGGACCCCTCCCCAAAATGGGCTGGGAGACCCAAAAAGGGGGCGAGACCCCCCAAAAATGGGGCTGAGACCCGCTGGGACCCCCCCTCCCCACAGGGTGTTCTTCACCAGTGTGCCCGTGGGGGAGGGGGCAGCGGCTGGCAGGGGAGGGGGGGGCGGGACCCCTCCCCAAAATGGGCTGGGAGACCCAAAAAGGGGGCGAGACCCCCCAAAAATGGGGCTGAGACCCGCTGGGACACCCCCTCCCCACAGGGTGTTCTTCACTTGTGCGCCTCTGGGGGGTTGGGCAGCGGCTGGCAGGTGAGGGGGGGTCGGGACCCCTCCCCAAAAGGGGATGGGAGCCCCAAAAATGGGGCGAGACCCCCCAAAAAGGGGCTTGGACCCCCCCTCCCCACAGCGTGTTCTTCACTTGTGCACCTCTGGGGGGGGGGGCAGCGGCTGGCAGGGGAGGGGGGGTCGGGAGCCCCCCNATTTTTCCCCCTTTTTTTCCCATTTTTCCCCCGTTTTTTCCCGTTTTCCCCGTTTTTCGCCCCAAACCCCCCCCAGCCTGGCGCTGTTCAACACGCGCTTCCTGCGCCTCTGCGCCGACGCCGACCCCCGGGTGCGGCCCCTGGGCTACGCCCTGCGCCTCTGGGCGGGGGGGCAGCGGCTGGCAGGTGAGGGGGGGTCGGGACCCCTCCCCAAAATGGGCTGGGAGACCCAAAAATGGGGCGAGACCCCCCAAAAATGGGGCTGAGACCCGCTGGGACACCCCCTCCCCACAGGGTGTTCTTCACTTGTGCGCCTCTGGGGGGGGGGGCAGCGGCTGGCAGGTGAGGGGGGGTCGGGACCCCTCCCCAAAATGGGCTGGGAGACCCAAAAATGGGGCGAGACCCCCCAAAAATGGGGCTGAGACCCGCTGGGACACCCCCTCCCCACAGGGTGTTCTTCACTTGTGCGCCTCTGGGGGGGGGGGCAGCGGCTGGCAGGTGAGGGGGGGTCGGGACCCCTCCCCAAAATGGGCTGGGAGACCCAAAAATGGGGCGAGACCCCCCAAAAATGGGGCTGAGACCCGCTGGGACACCCCCTCCCCACAGGGTGTTCTTCACCAGTGTGCCTGTGGGGGAGGGGGCAGCGGCTGGCAGGTGAGGGGGGGTCGGGACCCCTCCCCAAAATGGGCTGGGAGACCCCCAAAAGGGGCTGGGACCCCCTGAAGGGTCTGGAGACCCCTCCTCCAAAGGGACTGAGACCCCCAAAAAGGGGCAGGGACCCCTCCCAAAAGGACTGAGACCCCCAAAGGACCCCCCAAAGGAAATGAGACCCCCCCCCCCACCAAAGGAACTGAGACCCCCAAAAGGGTCTGGAGACCCCCCAAAGGAACTGAGACCCCCCCCAAAGGAACTGAGACCCCTCACCAAAGGCACTGAGACCCCCAAAAGGGTCTGGGGACCCCCCAAATGGGGAAGGGACCCCTGCAAAGCCACCGGGGGAGGGCATTCACAGCCCCCACCCCACCACCAAACTCCTCCAAGCAGCGAGGGGGGATCGTGCCCAATTGAGGGGGGGTCTCATCTCACTGGAGACCCCCGGCACGACCCCCCCCTCCCCGTTATTCCCGCAGGGAACCGGGCGGGGGGCGGCCCCCTCCTCACCAACTACGCGCTGACGCTGCTGCTGGTGCTGTTCCTGCAGAGCCGCAGCCCCCCGGTGCTGCCCTCCGTGCGCCGCCTCCGCCTCCTGGCAGGTGCCCAGACGCCCCCTCCCCTTTTTCGGGAGTCCCCCTCCCCACTTTGGGGGTCGCTGACCCCCTCCCCGTGTCGGTTGCAGGGCCCCAGGACCGTGCCCAGGTCGGGGGGTGGGATTGCAGCTTCCCCCGGGACGCCGCGGCGCTGGAGCCCAGCGGGAACGGCCAGAGCGCGGGTGAGGGGGGTTTGGGGGTCCCTGGATCGGGGGGGG